GGATATATTGGAAAAGGTTCCGATAGACTCATAGAAGGGGTTCCTTAAATAAATAAAAACTATTATACTCACACGTACACCTCACACAGTATGTGGAACTTTATCTATGTAAAATGTGGGTGATCACTTTTTGTTACTTATTTTACAACAAAATATCAGTATCATGAAGCCATTTATGACCCTAGGTTTCTAGCTGGGACCTAGAAGGAAATAATAATAATAATAATAACAGCTTTAATGTCCTTAACTGGAGCATAGCGGATATAAAGCGAATGGACGCTAAAACGAGAAAGCTTCTCATTTGTTACCGCATTCATCATCCCAAAGCCGATGTTGATCGTCTGTATGTGCCCAGATTCGAAAGACGCAGAGGATTAGTTCAACTAGAACTGTCCAACAAATCTATAACAATTTGCCTCCAAAGATACTTGGAAACTACAGAATACTGGATGATGGTATGTGTCAAAGAACATGAAAGCATTAAGCGTCTTCACTCCATAATAAAGGAAGCCAACAAATTCAAAATGGGGTTTCAAATGGGCTCAGAAATACAAGTAAAGCACAATACACCGGCTGAAGCTGCAAAATACTTAAAAAAGAAAGCAAAGAAAAATGCAACCGACCATATATAAAAGCGATGGCAAGATAAACTGCTTCATGGCCAATAATCTGCCCGTACCAAACAAGCTGACGTAGACAAAACCCGTACCCATCAGTGGCTATGTAGTGCAGGGTTGAAAGCTGAAACTGAATGTTTTATCCTTGCTATACAGGGCCAATGCTTGTTAACTAGGAATTATCAAGCACATATACTAAAATATTGTGTTAGCCTAAAATGCAGATTCTGTTATAAATATCCAGAAACAATTGATCTCCTTGTATCAGGTTGCACTATATTGGCACCCACTGAATATAAAACCCGGCATGACAGAGTGGGCCAATATCTGCACTGTAAAATATGAAACTTCTACAGGAAGGAAACTGAAAGAAACTCGTATGAACACTACCCACACCTACGGAGATAGGACCTGTTACAATTCTAGTGGACTATACAATACACACTGACAAAAAAATCATAGCCAACTGCCCAGACATTGATATTAGAGACCACAAACAAAAGAAAGTGCCTCCCTATTGATATGGCAGTCCCTGCAGACTGCAATGTATCTTTGAAGAAATTCAAAAAGCTGTCAAAATACAAGGACCTTGAAATAGAAACCTCAGAAATGTGGTATATAGGAACATCAACAATCCCTGTTGTATTTGGAGCCCTAGGATTTGTTGGAAAATATTTCAGTAGACTAATTGAAGGGATTCCTGGAAGTCCATGCCTCAAGGAGATACAAAAAATTGTTCTGACAAGTACAGCTCACTCATTACGAAGGACTGTATATTTTTTTTTGTCAGTGGAAAGTGTCATGATGCCATTTCTAAACTTAGGTCGCTGGGCGGGACCCGGAAAGAAATGTGTAAACGCCAGAAATCAAAGGAAATAATATTAATAATATTAATAAAAATAATAATAATAATAATAATGATAAATAATAATAATAATAATAATAATAATAAGACAAAAATAGGAACGTGCAAATAAACCCAATGATAAAAGTTAATACTCATCGATGGTTACGAGCATCTGGATTAAAAATCTGAAACTCAAATTCTTGCAGCGCAAGACCAGAGTCTTTTCACTAGGAATTTTCAGGCAAATATCAACATAATAATGTGGATCAAAATGCAGGTTCTGTGGACAAATACCAAGAAACAATAGACCATCTAATCTCAGGATGTTCTACTAAAATTATAAAAATCGTCACGATAGAGTGGGGCAATACTTTACACTGGACAATGTGCAAACACTTTGGAAAATGTGTAACACTATGAACATCAAGCGCCGGTTACAGAAATAGAAGATGTCACCAAAATTATACCATCCACACAGACAGAAAAAATTGAAGCAAATAGGCCGGACATTATTGTCAAAAACCAGAAAGAAAAAAAAAATTGCCTACTAAATTGATAGTTTTGTCCAGCGGATTGTAACATAGCAACCAAAAAGGAATTTGGAAAACTATCAAAATACAAAGACCTGGAAATAGAAATAGAAAAAATGTGGAAATTGAAAACAAGAATAATACCAGTGGTAATAGGTGCACTTGGAATTATAAAAAATGGAACAAAAACAACACACTGAAAGAATCCCTGAAACCCCAGCTTAAGAGACATACAGAAAATTGTCTTATTAAGTACAGCACACACACTAAGGAGAACTTTGTCTATGTAACGCTAGCAACTTCATCGGAGATAAAAAAAAAAAAAAAAAAAAAAAATTAACATGAAATGTGGCCATAACAACACACCACGACCTGCCTTAGGTCTTTCCGCAGACTTGGTAGGTAGTGTGTCCATAGCAGAAATAATAATAATAATAATAATAATAATAATAATAATGATTATGAATACATCTGAGAATGAGCATCATTAACTCGGATAAGTGAGCTACAATAATCATTCAATTAACTCATATTTAATCAAACATGCTAATTTTACTTATTTATTTATTTTATTTTATTTTTATTTTTAATATTTTTTGTGAATTAACCATCATTACATTGTCTTGAACTGTGAAACATAATTGGATTACACAATCCAGGCCAAAGGATTTGGTCTCGTCACCGCGGACAGTGATAATACCTGTTCTAAAATAAGTAAATTTGAAAAAATTGGAAAATTAAAGAAAATACCTATTTCAGCGAATATTGTAGAAAACAGTTGTTTGATTTCCGACTAATTACTGCATTTTGAAAAAATTATCTTTTGAAGTGACTGAAAGAATCCCGAGGAAGAAATGAAACCTTACCGACAACAAAATCGTTAGTCATTCATCGATTAATCAAGAAAATGTTGTGGTGGAGTCACTTAATCTCGAACGAATGCCATCAGACACGGCTGGTGTGAAAATTCATTGGGTACCTCACAATAATAATAATAATAATAATAATAAAACAATAATAATAATAATAAAATACAACAAATGAAGTATCTAAGAAACGAATTGAAGAATCTGAAAGCACGAGATTCACATTTACACGAAGTTTTTTTAAAATTCTATAATGATTTATCTTTCTTGAAAGTTGACAAGGAAATAAAGAACATCAGATAAGAAATGATGGAGTGAATGAAAAACTGATATGAAAAAATAAGAAGAGCAAATAAAAGAAAACACTGATGAACCCACTTACGTTGTATGAACATTAAGGAATAGAGATGTAAAAGAAATAAATGGAGAAGAAAGAAAGAATTCTTTCGCAGAGAAAGAAGAGAGTGAGACAAGAAAAGTAAAAGAAAAAAAGAGAAAGTAACATCAACACAAGAAAAATGAAAGACAATATCATAAACGACCTGTGAGATTTCTACTAAATGCCTTATTGTTTACAAATTGAATAATATATATATATATATATATATATATATATATATATATATATATATAGATAAGAAAAAGTAGAAAATCGTGATGAAGACAAAATGTTGACGAGACGGATGAAGATAATGATAAGAGGGAAAAGAAAAAAACATCAAAAGAAATGAATAGAAGAAAAACACGGAGGTAGATGAAGAAAAAGAAAAAAAGTTTGAAAAATCACCGAAAACGTGAGTGGAAAACCAAGTGAAAAGACAAAGATGAATAAAATATGAAAGATAAAAAGATGGGGAGGCATGAGGCGAAAAAAAAAAACGGATGAAAAAGTACAAGTCACCAAAGAAGTAAATGAAAAAAGCCATTAATGAAAGAAGATGAATAAAATTAATCTGTAAATAGAGACTCCGGCCTTCTTCAGGTGATATAGACAGAGATTCATCAAGTCGTTGACGAAGAGAAAGAAACGAAAAACAATAAGATTAGTCAATCGAGAAAAGATGAAGATTAGTCAATCGAGAGAAGGTGACGAAAAATATGAAAAAAAATACCTGTCTATATCTCTGAGATGGGGTATTATGATTTTTTTACATTATTTAAATTATTTGGACTGTTATCCTCATCTTCATTGCCATATTCACAAAGTTTCAGCAGTTGTAAGCTCCGGCCTTTTTAAGGTAAATGGAATTCCGAACCGAACCCTTTATTTCGTCCATCGGTGTAGATTCTTCTAGTTCCACGTGTCATACCTCTAACTAAGCCGACCAAGCATAGAAATGAAGACAATATGGGAAGCAATAATGAGTTCTAGAGAAACGCAATGAATAACAACGAAAATTCAAATATAAGCTCTAGTAAAAATATGCATAACAATAATTAAAAAATGCAATATGAGCACTGGTAAAAAAAATGATTGCTAAGACATTAGGTTTATAAGTCCCAGAAATTCACACACAGATGTCCTCCAGTGGATAAAGATGTTGGTTAGATCCAGTGACTAGACCCAAATAGTTGTGAGTTCAGTAACAGGCCACATAAGTGGCGATCCAATAAAACCTTGGAGAGTTGAGTTAAAGACAAATAACTGAGACATCACGAAGAGGCATGACACATGGAAATTGGACAATCTAACCCACTGGATGAAATAAACGGTGTGGCTCGAAATTTCAGTCCCATGAAGTAGGCCGAAGTGTGCAACGACCGAAACTTGTGAATATAGTAATGAAGACGAGGATAACATTCCGAATAATGTAAATAAAGAAAAAATATATTTGAAATATCTCAGAAACAGCAAAATAAGTCCAAAAAGTAGAAAAACTGGTGAAATGGAGAGAGAAATACTAGGAGAAGTGAAAAATTATGAGAAAATACGGAAAAATATTTGACAAAAAAGATGCTAATGGAAGAAGAAGAGGAAAAAGCATTAAAAGAAGAAGAAGAAAAGAAGAAGAAAATCTAAAGGTCCATTTAATGTAGAAGAAGGAAAGCAAGAAAAGTTAAAGATTCAGATAATGATAAAAAAGGAAAAAAAAAACACTAGAAGTTCATGTAAAGAAGAGATGTGCAAAATGAGTAAAACTCCTCTATAATAGAAATAAGTAATAGAAGAGATCAGAAAAGAATAAAGAAATAAGACTAAGAAAAAGATAACATGAAAGACGAAGAACGAGACAAAGAAGAAGAAGAAAGAAAGCGAGAGAAACAAAAAAAAATTCTGCAATAGAAAGAACCACAACAGTAAAAAAAGGGGGAAAAAAAAAAGAAAAGCAAAACGAACGAAAATAAAGCCGAGGCGGCGAAGCGTAGGCATATCCAAAATAAAGTCTGACGAAGAAGAAATTTGATCGACAGCGCGCTTTGCTTGTCAGATGAAGTAAAACGCTTTTTGTTGTTGAACAATAAAAGAACAAGCCTGTTATGTATAAAAAGGGCAGAGAGAAGCAAAAAGGTGTAAGCCAATTGTATTGTTGGAAGGTTGGAATCTTCCTACATCCAATCAAAAAACATTAAAAAAAAGCATTCAGACTGTTCATATCACTCAGTCTAACGGTGTCGTAATCTCTTTCTTTTCTACGATTGTCCCTACTTATCTGTTTACAAGAATCTGAACTATCTATCTATCTATCTATCTATCTATCTATCTATCTATCTATCTATGTTTGGTCACGATCTATCTATCTATCTATCTATCTATCTATCTATCTATCTATCTATCTGTGTTTGGTCACGATCGATCTATCTATCTATCCATCTATCTATCTATCTATGTGCTTTTTTATTTTAAAATCTTTAATTCATAATATTTGATATGTGTAATTAATGGGGAAGTTTTTCATTAAATGCCTTGATATGGAAAGAGATTATTTTCGAATATAAATAGATACTGTATTGGATTAAATCTTTTTTGCCAAATGGCTGCCGGCATATTAATGAAACTACGTACATTCTAATGATCCGACATCTGACTGTGGTTCTTATTGCTGATATATATCTATAATTTTTTTTCATCTTCAAATCTATGTATCGTAGAATATTGTATATTTATTTTTTCACCAACTTTACGATGACTTTTAAGTCTATATGCCTTGTGAGTCGAACACAATCATTCTTATCTAACATTTTCATAACCTTCTCTTATCTCTCCACATTGGTATCTTATCTTTATCTTATATATTTCTAATAACGGATTGTTTATCTCCAACATTACAACATCTATCTGACTCTCTCTGTCTCTCTCTCTCTCTATCTATCTATCTATCTATCAGTCTATCTATTTTCGATATTATGATTTATTTTGTTCTTAATAATCATAAATTTGACTATAATAATTGTTTATCTATCTATATATATATATATATATATATATATATATATATATTTCGCTTTATTCAGTTTACATCTATCTATTTATCTATATAAGTAATTCTGTTATCACTTATCTTCATATGTATCTATACAGATAAATAACTTACTAAGTAGACTTGTCTTGAATTCACATTAATCTGATTTTTTCTTATCTATTTATCTATCTCAATTGATAGATATTACTCTGATTCCTATCTATCTATCTATCTATCTATCTCTCTATCTATCTATCTATCTAACATAGACTCTAAAATAATTTAGCCTGCAACTGGTTTGATCTTTTTCACCAATCAATCTCTTTTTCCTGATTCTTGTAAGTGTCGCCTTGTCATTTACTGATTTAGTTATTGTTAATCCTGTAGGCGATCAAGGTTCTCCACACATTCCTTCATTATGTATCGATTGCCATTTTTTCTGGGAAAGAAAGAAAATGATATCCTGCAGCCTTCCCCTCGGGTTGATTTCAGTGTTGTCCTTCTCCTATACTCGATACCGTCTAATGATAGAGATTTCAATCATATATATATATATATATATATATATATATATATATATATATATATATATATATATATATATATATAGCTGAGGGAAAAGTGTGAACTCTACCCTTTCCCAAGCGGAATACTGAAGGCAACAGACTAAGCTGGAATTTGAACTCAGCTCACCGATTCCATACCGATAACCGTTACGTTAGCATTATAGCCCCGTGAATATATATATATATATATATATATATATATATATATATATATATATATATATATATATATATATATATATATCCTCACAAGATGCTCACTACTTGTTGTCATTATACCAGACAAATAAATGCACTTATCTGTCTCTCTTCTATAGAAAATTCTTTGCCTAGCGAAGCCGCTGCTGACAACAAATGTTTCATCAAGGTAGGATGAAAAAATAATTCAAGCGCAGATCCAACAGTCACACTTCACTAAGGAGATTACTGTGAGAGACTTCTCCAAACACCTTGCAGGCATAGCGTTCGCGTTCCTGAGAATTGCGTCGTATTAACCCATTACATATTTCCTTCTTCACACACAACACACACATTTTGCGCAAGTATGTGTATCTGTATGTAGGTGTGTCTATATATAAGAGACAGTTATGGTTCGTATTAATGTATGATCTTGAGTAACCGGTTCAAAATTCAGGGCTACCAGCTTTTCGGAGTTCTGTCGTGAATATTCATTCTTGCTTGTTTCTCTAAATTGCTATCACATGCCACTAACGAGCACTTTTTATCATTATCTACCATTGGAAAAAAGTGTAAAGAATATTGGATTCATGCCTTTCTCGTGATAAGTAGACTTGTTTTTAATTCACATTTATCTGATTAAGCTTTACAAGCCAATAGCTCCTAGGTTAATGCGTAAATCTGAATGTCTACTATGGCAGCTAGTCAGTCCTTATTGTAGACACTA